CGGCCGAAAGGCAGCTCGAAAGAAAAGACGGAAAAGGGAATCCGAGACGGAAAGACGATCGAACCTGCTCGAAACGCTGAACGAAACGAGACCGAAACGGCCCAGCGCCTCTTAGAAGAGGGGAACGAGGGAATCCGCTTGGCATTTCCGTCGAGGACGGAAGGCAAAGGCGGGTTCCGAAATCTCCCCGCAGATGTCTCTGTCCACTCTGGAGCAGGGTTGTCTGAAGTGGGTCCGAAGTTTCGCATCCATGTAAACAAAATGCATGTAGAATTGTAAGCTAAATGTATTTTTTCCCACTACTTCTCTCATTTATAAAAGTAAATGTAAATATACAAGTAGATTCAAAAAGTAAGAGACAAACTTATTTTCTGATCTACTCACAATCACACAGTCGAAGTGGTCCGTTAGTGCCATCAATGCAGCAGGTGAGGAACTACGTCGTTAACAAAGAGTCTCATTGCAATCAGACTGATAAGTCCTTGAGAGTATTTAACCGCTAACTTATTGAAGCTGCTTTATATATCGATATTTGAGGATTCTCTTTGTTTGAAATACGGCTGACAATCCCGAAGCTTCTGGCATCCCTGCTCTCGAGGAAGCTCGTCACTCTGCCTCGCTTTATCTCGCTCTCGCGCCAGTCAGCGACGAACTTTCGCTTCGCACGCCACCTCTCGTCTCGTCTCCATGCAAACGACCAGGCCTAATGCAATCCCCACCGCCATCTGTCTCCCTCGCACAGGTAACAGGCCTAGCATCCCTCTCGGTCCTGTCGGTCGGTCCAGTCGACTCGGTCCAGTCGGCCGGTCCCCGTCCCGCCGGACGAGGCGTGACCATGGATCTCGGCCTTCGCATTCTCGTTTTCGTCTTAATCGGTCTACTGAGGTGAGGAAGCTCGTTTTCTTCTCTGACGTTCATCGTGCACATGTAAGAAGCTCTCGTTTTGCGGAGAGATGCTTGCGAATGAATCAGAGGCATCGCCGAGCCTTCGTTGTGGGCAAATTATGGCAAATGTTAGCAGTTTTGGGCAGTTTTATATGACTCCGACGACCAGAGCACACTCAGCGACTGAGGACCCTATTCCGCCTAGAGTTTGCATTCATTATCTGACGGGAATTTCGATGCCTGCAATTTTTGTGACCTATATTCGGACAACCAAGGGGTGGGGGAGGGGCACAGAGGGGATTTTGGCGATTTTGGCCATTTTATAGCTGAATCCGTACTTGACATAACTGTTCCGCAGAACTAATGCAGCGAATTTTTATGGTGAATCTGAAAAAGTTCGAGGTTTGATGTTTCGCTTGTCTTTTTTTCTTTCCAGTCCAAGCAAATCTGCAACGGAAAATTCGGTGAGTTCGAGACTGACCGAACTCAGTTTTTCGCGGGATTTTAAATTTCGCGATCGATGGTGACGCTCCTCGGGGGATTTTAACATTGTATCTATAAAAAGGTGAAGAAAGTGAACAGGAAAAAAAACAATAGCCAACATCAAGGGCACCGTCAAGGACACCGCAAGGTTATTTTCCTCGCTTCGTCTGTGCAGCTCGATTTCATGCAAATTCTTTTGCATTCGATTTCCGTTTGCATTCGATGCCCATTCCCATCCATTCAAGCCGATTCTTCGCGCTTTTGAGGCCATTTGCCAAAATTGTTGGCCAATTAAAGAGAAACACGGACATCTCTGAATTCTTCAAGAACCTGTCGTTGGAATTGGACTCCATAGAGGGCGCCACGCGCTTCGATCCACGGATTAGCATACTTTAATAATAATTTTTTTTTTCGTACTTCAATGTTCGATTGCCAATATGAACGCGGAGTCCTCATTTGCGCGTCACGCGTGACGTCGTGTCACGTGACCCGTGACGCGAATGGAAACTGGGAAATTCCACGAATGCAGGCCGACGCGGCAGATTAACCGAGACGCGTCACGAATCGCCTTCGACGCGCGACGTGACTCGAACTCGCTTCCGCACAGCCGACCGTGCAGCTGACGCTGGACGGCCAGCCGGATGGTTGCCCGCTCGTCCAGCCGACCGGCCTTGTCTTCAAGGCCATCGTCTCGGTCGACTCCCGCTCCGATTTGAAGCTGAAGGTGTCGTGTATCGTGCCCGGGGACGACTTTGGGCCTCTGCATTTTCACGACATCAAGGTGAGATCTTACGATTTTCGGTCGAACCGTTGTGCAAAAAAAAAAAAAGTCAGCACGTTATTCGGAATCGATTTTGTCAACAGGTGCCAGGATGCCCGACCAACAACATCGTAGAGAAACCCAATCCCAAGGCGCCGAATGTGGTACGTTTCGTCGTCTCCCCCCCGTTTCGTCTCTTGAGAGTTTTTAACTGCAGCGATTCTCGCGATTCGCAGACGGACTCGTTCGAGGTGGAGCTGTGTTCTACCCCGGGGACGGCCACGATCGAGTTCAAGGCTGATCTGGTTCATACCATTTTTGTCGGGAAGCAGAAAGTGAAGCTGGGTACAGCCGTGGGGACAACCAACGAATGGAAGGAAATCTGCTTCGACGTGGACTTACCGGTAAGCAAAGAGCTGGAATGTAGACCCCACCCACCCGGAACGTAGACTTGCAAACTGTCTTCTCTCCCCAGCTGATGAATACGACGGGCCTCTCATCGACAAACGCATCTTTGCGTTGCCTCTCCACTGCGGATGGCTCGTGCAACAGCCCCGAGCTGGGAACCTTCTGGGACTTCGAGTGAGTCGCACCTCTGGACCTCGATACCCGGGGGGGGGGGGGTATCGAGGTCAATGCAACTGGTACAAGTCGACGGCCAACGG